TAGTTTCAAAATACTATCAAGTCACTATCATAATATCAAGCTGGATCCTCGTATTATATGCCCAAAAGATTGGCCAAAATTATTCTATAGTGCCAACCAAATTTAGATGCGAATTTATATCAAATTACTGTGTCACCTAATGTGATATTTTTTACAACATTTTGGTATTTTAAAAGGCAACCAAATAGGTGCAAAAGGTAACTAATTTAATATAAAATCTAGCACCTAATCAGGCGTAGGAGGTCAGCATCCTCAACATAAAATCAGATATCCAAACAGCTACAGAGGACCAACAACTTCATTATAGAATTTAATATGTAAATGACTCAGAAACAAGAAGAAAAGCATGGTATTAAGATTATATGTATATATCAATTAGATTATATTTTGGTAATAAAAAGTATATTAACATAAAAAATACAAATATCAAGAAGGACTTAAAGATATAGCTAGAACGTAAAAGTGATATAAGAAATAATAAAATGTTAGATTATATGTAGTATTTAGACCATATTATTTTAAATTATATGTGATAATTAGATCACATTATTTAGATCATATGCGGTATTCAGATTATATGCGATATTTAGATCATATGCGATATTCAAATTATATATGATATTTAGATCATATGTGGTATTCAGATTATATGTGATATTTAAATTATATGTGATATTTAGATTATATGTGATACTATAATTTAAGGTAAGTGGGATATCATATGTGATATACTTATATCACATGTGATATTCCACTGAATCTACTTCAGTATCTATAGTATCTACTAAACAAAATAAAAAAGATAAAAAGTTTTCCAAAAAAAAATTACTTCTCAAACTACTGCTGAAAATAATACAGAATGGATGAATGAAATTATAACATTCTTATTAACTTTTCTATGCTCACTTAAATCAAGCAAGATATCTTTAGTGTTACCTGCTATTATGTATCATCTTATATTAGAAGAAACATATACTATCTATGACCTAATTCCTTATCAATATACAGTCAACCTTCTTTAAATACACGCTCTCTAAATACATACTATATATTTTCTCTCTAAATATATGGGAAAATTTTACTAGCTACAAAAAAAATAAATCAAACTTTGTTAAAAAAGTTTCTGTTCAACTTTTTTAAGGTAAACTATGGGAATAAATCAAGAATAAATTATCTCGTCTTGTAACTAAGTATAATGAAATTAAAGAAAAAGAAAATTAAATAGGAGAAATAGCACAAGTCAGGTGAAAATAGTTTAAAAGAATCGACAGATTATTTAGAACTCGTGAAATCACAATCCAGGATTTTTAATAAATAGTCTTTCTAATGATACTGAACTTTTTAACAATGTTAAAGAAAAAAAATGAAAGAAAGAAGAAAATTAAAGATAAAAGTTTGAAGAAGAATCAAAGTATTAAAAAAAGAAAAAATTCTTCACAAAATTCATTGGCTGATAGTATTCTTTTTATGAGTAATTTGTAACAGGTAGTTTAGGAAAAATGACTTAATTTTGAATATGAGTAATTTGAAAAAAGGCAAAAGGCTGAAAAAGAAAATTGAGAAGCAGAAATGATTTTTAAAGAAGAATTGAAAATTAAATGAATTAAAGCTAATACATTATAGAAAAAGATAGAATTTGATATAGAGCAATCACGAATGCAATTTGAATTTAGAATGAAGAAATTGGATTTAAAAATAATGCAATTTAAACAGTTTCTAGAATAATAATTTAGTAATAATAATTAATAACAATAATAATAGTAATAGCAATTGTAATTATAATAGTAATAATAGTTTAATAAATTTTGTATTTTTTACCCAGTAAATTATAAATTTTAAGTTAAATAAATGATTATGCGTCAGGCATTCATATAAATTTAGTTGAGAATCATTTAAATTATTGTTCTATTTTAACAGTTCAATTTAAAAGTTCAATTTTAAAGTTAGAGTAGTATTCAAATTTAACGTTAAAATAGTGTTCAATTTTAAAGTTTATTAAGTGTTCGATTTTAAAATTGGATAAGTGTTCGTTTTTAAAGTTGAATAAGTGTTCAATTTTAAAGTTTATAAAGTGTTCAATTTTAATGTTAGAATTGTGTTAAATTTTAAAGTTGGATTAGTGTTTAATATTAAAGTTGGATTAGTGTTCGATTTTAATGTTTGATCACTGTTTAATTTTAACATTAAATTAGTGTTCAATATTAAAGTTCAATTTTAACGTTAGAATTGTGTTCAATATTAAAGTTAGATTAGTGTTTGATTTTAACGTTAAAATTGTATTCGATATTAACGTTAGAATTGTGTTAAATATTAACATTAAAATTGTATTTAATATTAACATTAGAATTGTATTCAATTTTAACGTTCAATCATTGTTCGATTTTAAAGTTTATTAAGTGTTTGATTTTAACGTTGAATTAGTGTTCAATATTAAAGTTCGATTTTAATGTTAGAATTGTGTTCAATTTTAAAGTTGAATTAGTGTTTGATATTAAAGTTAGATAAGTGTTTGATATTAAAGTTAGATTAGTATTTGATATTAAAGTTAGATTAGTGTTCAATTTTAAAGTTTAATAAGTGTTTGATTTTAAAGTTAAATAAGTGTTCGATTTTAAAGTTGGATAAGTGTTAGATTTTAAAGTTGAATATGTGAATATTTATCAATTTGATAAAATTTATTAAAAAATTGTTTTATTAAAAATGAAAAAATTTATGGAAAATATTACCATAAAATCCAATTCCTTTTAGCCTGCCCAGCTATTTTTAATGTATCATCATTGTCTCTTGTATAAGTTGAAATATCATCATCATTTTCAATATCTGTACTATCTATATCATTAATGTCCCAAATATTCTTATTAATTTCCAAGAAATTATGTAAAATTATTGCATAACATGTAAATAAAATTCACATTTTAACTGTTTTAATATCAAGATTTCTTAATATTCCAAATTTTGCTTTTAATCTTCCAAAAGCATTTTCTATTACAACTCGATGAGATAAATAAAATTGATTAAAATCTTTTTGTTTTTGAGAATTTGGATCTTTAAAAGGTGAAATTAAAAAAGGTGAAATAGGATAAGCTGAATCTCCCAAAAGATAATCATTTTCTTGAATAAGATTAGAATAATTTTTGTAAAAAGAAGAATTTCTAAAAACCCTAGCATCATGTACAGAACCAGGCCAGCCTACATCAAAATTAATAAAAATTTCCCTATCATTTACAATACCTTGACAATGAATAGCATATTGCTTTTTTCTAGTAAAATAAACTTGTGGATTTTTGCTTGATGCATTTTTCATAATAATATGTGTTCCATCTACTGCAGTGATGTGCACTTGGAAGATTGGAAGAACCCTTGGAAGCACTTTTGGAAGGGTTGGAAGCATAATTCTCTAATAAATTCATTTGGGTTGGAAGCTTCCAATCAAATTTTATGCTATTGGAAGCATAAGATGCACATCACTGATCTACTGCACCAATTACATTTTTTAATCCTCCTAAATTTTCAAATCCTTTGTGAACTTTTTTACGCTCTCTTGAAGTAGGCCATTTAATAAAAGTTTTTTTTGTGCCATAATTGCTTGAATAATTCGTTTGGTATAAAGAATTACTGTTCCTTCTCCTATTCCAAAGCGCGAACAAACTCCAAATAAACTTTCAGTCTACAAAGAAACATAGCTAATTGAAGCTTAACACAAACTTGCGGTTTTGTTCCTTGCGATAAAAATACAGGATGGGAACGTATTAGATTAGCTAAGTGTTGAAAATTGTAGAGAAACATTCTCAAGAGTTTTTTAAATCGATTAGGGTCATTTAAAGGAAGAACTTCTTGCCACCAATGTTTGGATTTTGCTACATGATATATACGTGGCTTTAAATATCGTGTGTTTGATTTTCGTATTAAAACCGTTCGTAAATTAAGTTATCTTCTTCCTCCTCTTCATCACCTAAAAGAATTTGTAACCATAGGATATTATAATATAATCGTCGTTTCATATTATAAAACGAAGCCAATCATATGCTCAATTGTAACAATGCTCTGATTGGCTATTTATTTTTTCGGTCGATCTAGAATTGAACAGGGCTTTATATGCCCTTAGATGATTGGTTGTTGATGCGATCAGCGGTCAGTCACCAAAAATCGGTGTTCACCCAGATCGGATTTTATAATAGACAGACACGTCTACGCGAGGTTATAACTATTAAATTTTACTATGTCTAATCCGAAATCTACTTTTCGTCAAATTCCTCCTAGACCACAAGAACTTGTACAAGATTCTGGTATTATAGCTGTGGTAACAATTCCTCCGCCAGAGATTCAAGAAATAACGGCGCTAACATCTGCAAAGTCTCTAAAAAGGATAAATGGTCAAAAAACAGAGGAAGAAACAGGCTGAGATGATTCAAACATAGGATTAATGTTAAGTATAACGGTTCATATCGCGTAAAAGCGAATTATATCTATTACAAAAATTGTGCTACGACCTGATTAGCTATAAATTTTTCGGTCAATCCGATCCGAATTGAACGAGTTGTGACAATAAAATATGGTATAGTATTTTATATTATATGCCATAACTTTTACATTAAAACTTTATTCATAAGACGACCTTTTCAAACTAAAAGATCTTTGAAATCTCCTTGCATAAAACAATAAATAACAATAGAAGAATGTTTTAGAAAGTTGGGCAAAACAAGTTGTTCCTTCCTAAATATAAAACTTTCTATCCTGTTAGATATTTTTTATAGTCAAACCTTCAGACTGGATCAGACTGAATCAGAGAATGGCAAACGAAAGTAAATATGTTAGAGAAAAGTTATGTAAAGTTTTTCGATACTTAGTAAAAAATTAATGTTACCATTTTACCGATCATTTTTGATATACGTTGTGTAAACTTAATATAAATAATTGTGTAACATCAGTGGTCAAATTGATTAAAAATAATTACAAAAAAAAAAAAACGGTTTCGCTACTTTCATTAACACTAGTTAAAAATGTTTGATAATTTTTATCAAAATCAAAAACTACTTCGCGATGAACCTGAAGTAACCGATTTTTTAAAAGCAAAATTAGGAGTTAATGTAAATAATCTTTTCCCTTTTTCCTTTTTTTCTTTTTTTTATACAAAAGAACGCGTTATAATATAATGAATGAAATTTTTTTTTTTCTAGTTTGATGGCACCGAACGTGAATTTATTGGTTTTATGGCAAGTTTTTTGATGGAGTATAATGTAATGTCCTTCGATATCAACCCGATAGACCCTAATCACGATGCTATAAAAAAAGTTCTAAGGCCAGGTTAGCGAATGTATGGTATGATAATTTAAATATTTTTTGATTTAATTTTAAATTGGTTTTTTTTTTGCTCTAGATTCCCTTTTTGAACCAGGAATTCAAGATTCTGTTCGCCAATATCTTGAAATCGCATCCGAAGGAAGTACTGCAATATTCTCTTCACTGGTCGTATCATACAGAGGCTTTCCTAGCAGAGCTAATGTCTTGATGAAAATGATTAATACTTTCTCCGATCCGAGTAAATTTAATCCGGAAGATGCAACGGCAAGAGGTCGTGAAGAAGGGATCGAATGTTTGAAGAAAGTTTTAAAGACAAAGTATGATGCCAAAAAAATAGATGAAGCTCTTACTATAAATGGCGGGGTAATTATCTTCATTTAATTTTATATATCATGATATACAAAGAAAAATTTTAAACAAACCTTTTTTTTAACGCATAGTCTTTAAATCCGGTGTTAGAACTTATAAATAAAGCTGAATGGCGTAAAGTGATATATGATCTTTCAGAGAAATATCCCGATAGTCAATTTTTGAACGTTTTGATTCAAGTAATTATTTACTTTATTATTATGTTAAAATATGCTTGTATTTCCTAACAAGGAATTTTGTAATTATTAGAGAATAGCTGATCGAGGTTATGTTGGTGAAATAAAACATCTTAAAACTGCGTCAACATATATCGGAGTATATTCGAAGGTTTTGCTAGATCAGTTTAATACGTTATTGAACGCAAATGATGCTAGTTTATCTAAATTTTTACCAGATTTAGTGGTCAGTGCTTTTAAAATATGTTATATAACAACTTTGATCAGAAGTAATTAATTTCGCATCATTTTATGTAGAAAACAGCAGGCCAGAATCCACACACATATCTTTTTGTTCAAACGTTAATGAAACGGTTGATTCAAGTACCGAATGGTTACCCAATAAGGAAGTTGGCGAAAGAGCTTGAAAAAGGCGTTATCGATGGCCGGTACGTATAATTAATTTAGTATATCATTTTGAAATTTTTAAATTTTTAATCTAATTTTTTATTATTAGTAATGATCTTGTGGTGACTTTGAGAAATTTGTTATCGGCTCCGCCAACTACTATTGCAACAGCTATACTACATATACCCCCAACCCCTGGAGATGTAGTTGAGGTAAGCCTTTTTGTATATTTATCACTATATTGTGTTTGCTATCAGTTTCATTTTTCACGTATTACAATTTTTTGGGGTGCTTATTCACCGTAGTTGCATAAGCATTATAACTCTGCGACACCACCTTCTCCAATATTTCTACGCGATCCTCAATTACTTTGTACGTAGTGTTTATAATCATTATTACAATTTAGTTAATAATTTTTCTTGAAAAAAAAGTTTTTATATATATAATGTCAAACACTCGTCTAACAAAATTTATGCATACAATATTTAGATTGGTTATTGAATAATATATTCGTGCCTTCAGATAAAAATAAAAACTTGAAGCAAGATCTTAAGGAGAAATACTTATATTTGGCAGCTTTTGCCTCAAGTGCCATAGAATTAACTAATGGAGAGGTAAATTGTTTGTAATTGTTATAAGGTCGTATTAAGGGTTCCTTTCTATTCTTATTATGTTGAATATCTGTAGATTGATTCTTCACAAGTAGATAGTACCTTTACAACACTTAAAAAACTTGAAGCCGCTGTGTCTAGAAAGGGTGCAACGACTACTGAATTCGGTAGTATCGTCAAAGAAATTTTAGAATATATGGAGTAAGTTTTCTCATTTGTGATAACGGTTTTTTTTAAAAAAATTTGAATATTATATCGCTTCCATGAATTTAGCACTCCGGTAGCTTCAATGGCTTTGATATTTTGGATTAAACACATATTACGCGATACATCATTTTACGAGAAGCATTTCAAACATCATGAAGTGCCGATTCCTCATTTGCTTCTTGAAGAGGTGAGGATTTTGAATAAATTCCATTTTTTTTAAAAAAAAAAATATATAATCTTTTTCTTAACTATAATTTTTTATAACATCTCTGATGATAAATAAAGATTGCATTTCGTCACCCTTACCAACGAACACACGTTTTTAACGCATTCAAAGCCGAATTGGAATCCAATTCATTGAAACTTACACCAGAAATTATGGTTCCGTACATTATATTAATTTGCTTGTAATTAGCATGACATTACCTGTTGGTTTACATTATATTTTATTCACATACAAAGTTAGGTCTACGTCAACAATTGTTGGATCGTATGATTTATTTGATACAACTTGGATTTGTTATACAAGTCGTGTCGTATATTGAAAAGCAAGCGAGAAAATTGGATGAGAAATTGTTGATCTATTTTGTTAAAAAGGTGTGTAATCTCATCTTTCATCCATGTCAACAATTGCATATTGAAATTAGAAAGGAAAATGATTCGTGTTATGCTCTTTGCGTATGAATGTTGTAGATTTGCTTTAATTAACTATGTAAAATTTCTTTTCTTTAAATTATTTTAGGTTGTTCAAATGAGTGGACCACCTTATTCGAAAGATTTTTATAGTATAATGATAAAGCTGATCGAACCCATTGATAGTACATTAGAAGCTCAATCAGATACAAGATTATTGATTAGACAATTCCTTGGTATTAACGGAATCACGTGCTCGTTTTTGGTTAATTTTATTTTACGTTCTAATAGATATTCTTTTTAAATTTATGTAGGTGATTGCCCTCAGGAATTAAATGACAAAGAAATCAATGAATATGTTTCTAAATCAAAAATAAGGTTCTCTAATTAGTAGAAAGGATCAAAACAATGCAATCAAAGTATAGCAAGGAATTAAAACACATTATTTTAGCATTTCAATTATATAGCTTATTAAAAATCAAATAATCAAATTGTATATATCATAAATATACAATTGAATTGTTGAAAACTAATAAAATTTATATATAGCATTAATAAATTATCATAATTTTCAAAATTTTCTTCTTTAATTAAACACTTATCTGATAACAAAGCATCCGGACCCTCAAATATTCTTAATGACACCTCGGTCCTGAAGCCAATAAGCCTTTTATATAAAATTAATTGTACCTGTTTCGTAAAATATCCAGCAAAATCGAAAAAATTTTATTATAATTTTAACATTTAATTTTTCCGAACTTTATTAATAACAAAAAATAAAAACATATAACTACTAGAATCCTAAGATTATGAACTTTTCGAATACACTATTAATATTTGGGTGGGCAACCTTTACTTTTAATTACAGCATATACTCTTTTTGGCATGCTAGAAACCTATTTTTCCAAAAAATTTGGATCAATTTTTACCCATTCTTCCTGTAATGCTCTTTAGTAGATTTTGGTCTTGGATCACGCTTATGGACATGTCTTTCCAGATCATCCCATATATGCTCAATTGGGTTTAAGTCTAGGTTCTGAGCTAAAAAATTAATTAAATTTTTATTTTTCCAGTTGATTACTCATAAAACGATAAAAAATGGTCCTATAAAATTTCTAAATACTTTTTTGTATTAATATTCTTCCTAATAATCACTATTAGTCCAAGTTTATTATTAGTAAAAGCAACCCAAATTATTATTATACCAGTTTGTTTAATTGTAGGTAAAAGACAATCAATATTATTCTTTTTTTATGTTTGTATCAAATCCAATGGTAAGAGTTGTTCTAAAATAAAAGATATTAAGACTTGTTACTCTAAATCACATTTTTTTATTCATTTTTTTCAGTTTCTTCTTTTCTTATACTAAAAAAAATGTTTAAAATTTTTAATTCCAACCTATTTATGATAGTTCAATTTATAAGATTATGATATATAGTAGTAGTACTTGCAGATTTAAACTCCATTTCATTAAATTTTACAGTTAAATTTTTAACAAACTGCTGCTTATCTTCTTTAAACAAATAAGTAAGATATCATTGATTATGATTATTTATAATAGGTGATTTATCAGGTTGAGAAGAAAATAATGTTAATCTATATTTTTATTTATTAACTATGTCATGTATTATACTTTTTGATATATGTAACGTTTTAGAAATATCTGTAATATTATCTAAGCCTTTATAACTTTATCATGTTCAAAAAAGTAAATTCACAAGTTTTTAGCATATTTAATAAATAAAATACTTAAAAATTTAAAAAAATGTTTTTTTTAAAAAATTTAATATTATTTTTATTTAAAAAAATTTCAAATTTAAAGATATCAATGTTGATTATAAATACTTAAAATTAAGATACTTATTAATAAATTATTAAATGATCAGCATTTGCTAGATATTTTGATCATTTATTATATATCAAAATTTACATAACATAAAACTGATTATTTTAATTGAAAATTTCTGCAATAGAATATGATTAAAAGTTTTAATACCAAATTATATTTGAAATATTTCATATTATTAATAAACGCTATAATTATAAAGGGATTTATTTATATAGCATTAATAGTTCTTATAAAATATATATTTATAATAAGTATTTATATAATTTAATTATACAATGTTTAACGAAAAAAATGGCCGTTGATAAAATAATATTTTTTTACAAATAAAACATAGAAATTTATAATGTTGATCATAAACAAATCATTAATTTAATATTTCTAAATTTAGAAAAACGCGTTTTTTAAAAGTAAATTTTTATTTATTTTTATTTATTTTTATATTATTTTCTTTGCAACGATGGTTAATACAAGATTAGAAGCTTAAAGACAAACAATTCAGCAAAGTAAATACAAAAAAAATTGGTATTCCCCTTCGTACTATTGAGCGTAATCTTAAAAAGCTTAGAGAAACAGGTAATATCAATCATCAGTATAATAATGGTCGGAAATCAAAGGTTACACAAACTATATTCTGGGCTATTGGGCAATATGTGCACAAAAATACTGCAATTTCAACCTGCCAACTTGCTGCAAAAATACAAAATACCTATAATATTTCCATTTCACATGAATCTATCTGGAAACATATGAAAAAAAAAGGATATGAAAGTTCTGTTCCATTAGCAACTCTGATGCTCACAAATCGGCATATTGAAATATGAAAAGCATGGGCACAAGCACATTTAAATGACAATTAGGGTCAGACAATATTTACTAATGAGACAACATTTGATCTTTTTCGAAATAAGGTCAGTCAATGACATAAAAATGGTAAAAGACCCATCCAAAGGTTACCAAAATCTCATCAAAAAGTGATGGCATGAGGAGGGATTTCAAAAAAAGGAAAACACCTCTCTTTTGTTTCATTAATATTATGGATGGGCCATTTTATGTAAGTATATTGCAGAACCAGCTTCTACCTGCTGCAAGAAATATGTATAGAAGAAACTGGAGTCTGTAATAAGACAATGATCTGAAACATACTTTACATGTTGCAAAGGAGTTCATTACCGAAAATTTGATTCGTACTATTAATTGGCCATCCAATAGTCTGGATCTTAATCCTATTGAAAATATGTGAACGATCGTCAAAAATAATGTTGAAAAGCGGATGCTTCAAAATATTAATGAGTTGACCAAATTTTTGGTTGAAGAACAGGATGCAGTTCTTCAATCAACAGTGAATAATTTAGTTATGTCCATGAAAACCAGATGTGAAATAGTTTTAGAAAAAAATGACAATAGAAAATTGTATTAAAATTTTTTTATCTAATAAAGGAATTGATCAGCTTTTAAATAAATTTAAATTCATTCAAATCGGATAGGTAGTTTTTGAGATATATTGCTTTTTGTCACTGCCATTTTTTTTGTTACACACTGTATAAGGAATAACTATAGAAAGATATGATTATATTTAATATTTTTATGCTTAACAAATCATACAATATCTAAGATTTTAATAATAGTTATTAAATTATTAAAATGACTTTTTTATATTAAAAAAATCATTTTTCATATTTTTTATAATTATTAATTATTATAAAAGTTTTAATTGATATGGATTTAGTAAAATAATTTTTTTATTTTTATAAGCTAAATATATACTGTATTTCAATTTATATTATAATTTATTTTTATTTAGAATTTAAAGTATTTATAAAAACAGTATATAAATTTGACCTTTACTAAAAAGGATTTAATTTTATTTAACTTATATTATTTATATAAATAATATAATTTAAATTATTAATAGTAAAGATAAAATTAACTTAAAATATAGATATTACTAAATATTTTGATAAAAATTAATGATATTCTTTATTAAATATATTTTACAAAAATACAAAATATCATTTATATTCAAATTATGATTATCTAATATAAATATTATAAGATTATACTATAAATTTTAAAATTTTTAAAAAAAAAAATCTTGTTTTAAGAAAAGTTTCTAGAAATTTAATAAATGCTTTATTATATAATATTATTAAACTAATTGATTTAATAAAATATCTAAATGTCAGAATTCAATTATTTATATAAAAGTTTATTAAATAATAAGTAGTAAATTTTTTATATAATAAAAAAATTAAATATAAAATTAATTAATTTGATTAATAATTAATTTATTATTTAAATAATATAGTATTTATTTTAAAACTTGAATATTTTTTAAATTAATTGTTTTTTTTATTAAAAGAATATATATTTTTAAATGTTTTATTAATAACTTATTAAAAAAAAATTATATTTACATAATTTAGTATAATATATAATAAATTAATCAATAAATTTATAATTTTAATTTTAATTTTAATAAATGATATTTACAATTTTTGTTAACTAATATATTTATTTTTAGTTAATTTTTTAAACTTTTAATTTTAATTTTACGTTATTTAATATTTCTTAAACTATAAGTATAAAATGTTTTTAAAATATTTTAGCAAACTTAAAATGTTTTGATTGGTTAGTTCATTTCTCACTTGTCATATGATCATATGACTTCTCCTACAAGTTTAAAGACTGTGATCTGCTCCTTTATCAAATCTCAAATTCCTCAAAATTATAACGTAAATAGCTGAACAAATAATAATACTATATTAGAGGTCATATTTTCCTAATTGATATATATAGTTTAACACTATACAAAAAATTTGCTGATAAATTAAGAAAGAAGAACCTATTGTTTATCAATCTAACCATGTCTGATAAAATAACCCTTTTTATACTATCTGATTTTAAATACTTATCAGTCACCCTTATACTTCTTATATTATTGACTTGATTTATTGAACTTTAAAATAAATTACTGCATAATAATTCTAACAGAAATATTCTATCATAATTCCAACATCCGCATGACAATAAGATTCAAACTAGACCACCTGTTTACATAAAAAGTACAACACATTTCACAGTTAATTAGTATCTCCCTTTTAATTAATCCATTATTGATAAAGTACTCAAAATTGAATCCAACATTATTTATATTCAATATTTTTATTTTTAAGCAGAAACTTCATAAAAAACATTTCTCACTGCAATTTCAACCTGCCAACTTGCTGCAAAAATACAAAATACCTATAATATTTCCATTTCACATGAATCTATCTG